ACAAAAGGGAGTTTATTTCAGACTCGAGTCCGGGTTCACGGCACCTACCAACGCCGTGGCAGATACCGAGAGCCCCGAACAAAGGAAGCAGGGGTCTTTTAATAAGGTTAAATTGTGCTGGCAGTTACTCATTGGCTACAAGGATGCGTTCTCCAACTTGGCCCGGCTATCATTCTAAGCTGACTGGCCAGGCCAAGATGCAGCTCCAACCTGCAGCTCCAATGACAGCAAGTTCGCCCTCATTGGTGACCGGAGAGTAAGGGTGGAGTGAGGGTCCAAACTGTCTCTGGAATGCAGTCTTTTCCCAGCAAAACCTAAAATTCTAAAATGGCAGTTACACAAAGCAATGGCTAAGAATACTTATGCTTGGTTCCATATTGCCGTCAGCCTACGGGCTCCTGGAGGAGCAATTGATCAGGGTGGCCGGCCCTGACCCCTCACACCCGCCATGTCAGTGGGCAAGTGATTCATATTGACCATTCGGATGGGAGTTTCTGTCCTCCCACTCACAGTGATTGGTTCAGTGATGGGCCTGGGATCCAAGCAGGCCAATGAGGTCTTCTCCAGAAATGGCCGCTCCTGGAGGAACGAGTCCTTCAGCAGGAGGATGTGGGCGGCTAGTGGCCATCTTGTTCCCCAGGCGGAGAGGGGCTGCTTGAAAATGAAACCAGTGTGTGGAGAGAGAGAGGGAATGAAAGCAAACCCTGCCATATTACTTGCCCTCTTGGCTGCAGTCACGACTAAGGTCATATTCTTTCAAAACTCCCCTCCCAGTTATGTAAACCAATAATTCTTCTCAGTTGAGCTAGTATGAGCTGAGTTGCTGTCTCCTGCAATGACCGGTATAGCATCTCCAGTGCCACAGCCTTAATTCAGACCTTATTCTTTCCATTGATATTTGCTGAGTACCTACCATCAGCCTAGGAGCTGGACTTTATCACCATCCCAAAACACGCTGGTCTGTCTCCATCCCTGTCACTTTGAAGGGCTGCCACACTGGTCCAAACACCTTCATCCTCACCTGCACCACTGAAGTAGCCTCCTGCTCATCTTCCTCACTCCCCCCTTGCCTTTCGGCACTCGGTTCTCCAAGTTGCAATAAAAGATCCTGTGAAAAACCCAAGGTAATCTTCTCGATCCTCTGCTCAATTCCATGACTCCTACTTCATGCAAAGTGTCCAACCCCCTCCTAACACAGCCTACAGATCTCTCATGACCATACCCTTCCCCGATATACTTGACCTTATTTCTGATTGTCTCAGTCTCCCTGCACTCCAGCACCAAGGTCTTCTTGCTGACCCTTGAGCACAGCAGCCATTCCCTGCCCCAGGACCTTTGCAAGTGCTGGTCCCTCTTCCAGACATGATCGTCGCCCAGGTGTCCTCCTCAGCTCAATCAGGTGGTCCCTGGCTGTTCCCAGGAAAACTGAGGTCTATGCAGGAAAAGATGAGCTGGGCAAGGTCAGAGGTGGGTAAGGGGACAGCGAGGATTTCAGGCACATCCCCACTTTCACCCCACCACCACCACCACTAGCGCCTCCAGCCAGGCTTTTCCAACTGACAATCACCCCGGACACCCCAACTCACTCAAGGACTGTTGGCACTCCACTCTCTGGTGACTCAGATACTCCATGCAGCCAGCACGCTCCTCTGGCAGCAGGAAACCAGGCATGGCTTGACACAGTGGCTCCAGCGACCCGATTTGGCCACAACACAGGAGACCACTGGAAGAGAAGACAGCGTCCTCAGGGACTTCTGAGGAGTTGACGGGTCAGCAGCTGTGTCTTCTCCACCTGGTCCACAAGTCCAACCTCCCAAACTCCACACTGGACACTAGAACTCTTGCAAACCTGAGCCCAGTACCTGACACCTTCCTTGAAAGTGTCTCCAGGACTGCTGTTTCCACTTCTGCATTTATACCATGTTCCACTTAGGATTCCATAGTTGATTTACCCATCATCCTAGTGATGATCATTCAGGCTGTTTCAGGTTGACGCCACTCTGTCATCACCAAGCAGCATGAACATGCGCCACCCCTCAAGTCTCCCCATAATTTTCTCATATTACCGAGGTCTGAGATCATATGTGATTATTCATATCACGTTACCCACCCCGAGTAGAACGTCAGCTCCATGGAGGCAGGGTCTTTGATCCTGCTGAGTCCCAGCACAAAGCACAATGCCTGGTGCCTAGGGACCCAGTAAGTTAGGGGTCCCTGAAGAGGGAAAATCTTGCCTTAGAGCAACAAAGGAAATATGACCTCATGTTGGCATTGCCAAAAAATACCACCAGATGGCGGTGTTTCTCAAAAACTAAAGCTGTCCCTGAAGAAATTCTACTTTATTCTTTTTCTGCCTGAAGAAATTCTACTTTATCAGTGTAGCTGAAAAAGAGGGCCTTGGGGGGATGTTCAAATCTGTTCATTCAGCTCTGAAGACCCAGAAAACATTGTGCCAGCTGAGCCTGCTGGAGCCAGAACGAATTTCCCACAGTTGGTTGAGTTCCTCTGCCACCACTCTGCCTCCAACACACCAGGTTTCACTAGAAAAGTCTTTCAGGGTGATCCCAACTCCACCTCCTTCTCAGAACCTCTCTGCCCAGTCCCCAGATAATCCTGTCTACCAAAAGGATTTTCCTGGAAAGCAGCTCTGGCCTCTCACCTGAAATCCCCCAGTTGCTCTATCTCCTGGTGTAGCATTTCATAATGATATGGAAGATCTTCGAAAGACAGCACAGGTGAAAAAGAAAGACCTCTAACAATGTTTACAGTTATCATTTCTATTTTATTTTTTAAGGATCTTTGTGTTAAATGATGACATCTGTATAATGTGTCTCTAGAAGGGGATGTAATAAATTAGTAAGAGTGGTTGTCTTCGGAGATAGGAACTGGTAGAACAGTAGCAAATTTCTTCTGAAATGTTTCGTGCCTGCATTACCTCTTCAAATAAATGTGGAAAAAAAAAAAAAAAGTTATGTGATTGCCTCCAGAGAACTGAAAAGGGGGTGGGAAAGGGTGAAGGGACTTGGAAGGATGTGACTTTATTCTTTTATAATAAAATATTTAATTAATTTATTTTTTATGGTTTTTTTTTTTTTAGTTAAGTAGTGTTGGTTTACTTTGTTTGTATTTGTGAGTAGAGGGTCCTCATCCTCGTGTATTATCACCTTATTGCACTCAGCTTTCTATTGTAAACTGTTACAACAAGCATGTGTTACTTATGAGTTTAAGGAAAGAGCAATACTTTTTTTGCCCTCAAACCTCAACTAAGGGCCTCCCCGGTGGCGCAGCGGTTGAGCGCTGGGTTGCGAAGCTGCCCACAGCCTCAGCGCCGCCGGTTCGATCCCCGGCTGCTCCCCGGCCACCGGAGGAGGGTCCCACATGGCGCGCAGACCCCTCCTGCCGCCCGCTGCTCCCCTCAGCAGTGTACTTCGGTCCTTCTGCCTGCTCTGCTCCCCGCTCTGGCTCTGGTGAATTCTCTCACCCTCCCGCGCTTCTGACTGTACCCAGTGCATGTATGAACAAGCAAAAACAAACAAATAAGTAAATAAATAAAAAACATGCCTCTATAAAAAAATAAATAAATTAAAAAAAAAAAAACCTCAACTAAAACAATAAAAAAAAATTTTAAATTTAAAAAAGCCTCAACTAGCGCCCAGGAGGCCTGTGACACACAGGCCCCCAAAAGGATCAGCTCCTTCAGCTAAACACAGACATGTTCTGGATTTGAACCAAGGTTTCCTGGGGGCAAATTCCCATCTAGAGACAATGGAAAATGTGCTCTCCTCAGAACAGAGACTTTATTTATACATTACATCTACATTCCAGGTGGGGGCCCATGTGGGAAGATTGCCCAGGAAGATAATGGAGTCATTAATCTCTACCTAAGACTGGGTTCCCCGGCCAACTTCCCATCTAGGTAATTAAATCAAATGGCAGCCCCCTATTAGTCTCCACCACATCTGCTAGGCAGAGGGACAGAGAACCTCTTGCATGCCCACCTAGCTGCTCTGGAGGGTCCATTTCCTGGGACAAGCAAGGTGAGCCCAGTCTGGGGTCCTCCATTTTGCCTGGGTTAGGAAGTCCAGAACTCAGGCAAACAAGAACCTTCAGCTGGCAGGGGTTGGGAACTGTTGTCTGAGCTTCTGCATTTGTTTTTTTTTTAGATTTATTTATTTATGCATACAAGAGCTGGGGTACAGGCCAGAGATGTGGGGAGTGAGAGGATTCACCAGAGACAGAGTGGGGAACAGAACAGGCAGACTGACCCAAGTACACTGCTGAGGGGAGCAGAGGGTGAGACAGGAGAGCTCTGCTGCGCCATGTGGGTTGCTCCCTTGCCAGGCTGCATTGGCTGCGGATTGCTTCATAGAGCAGTGCTTAACCTCTTGCGCCACCAGGGAGGCCCCTGAGCTTCTGCGTTTGTGTGGTTACCCAAGTGTGCATTTCTTTTCTTCCTAACCTCACACTAAACATTATTTTCTTGAAAGCCACAGCTAGACCACCAATGTTCATTCCTTCTTGGGCAACAGCAACAAGATGTTTCCAGAGGGTGCCTCCTCCCTCTGCTCCCTGATCCAGAAGGGAGAGCTTGTTTTGACTTGACCCTCACTAAGTGGTCCGGAGTCAGCTGGGAGCTTATGGGAAAGACTCTCAGCTTCCATCCCAGACTTACTGAGCCAGAACATTTATTTAAAAAGATTTCTGGTGGGCCTCCCTGGTGGTACAAGGGGTTAAGACGCAACCTATGAAGCTAGCCACAGCCACTGAAGCACCAGTTCGATCCCTGGCCAGGGAGCTACCCATATGGCACAGCAGACCTCTCCTGACTCGCCCACTGCTCCCCTCAGCAGTGTATTTCGGTCAATCTGCCTGTTCTGTTCCCCACTCTGTCTCTTGTGAATCCTCTCACCCTCCCCCCACAGATCTCTGATCTGTACCCCAATTCTTGTATGCATAGATAGATAAATCTTTAAAAAAAAAAAAAAAAGATTCCTGGTGATGTGAACACATTAGCTGACATTACATGTATGCAGAAGTTTTGCCTGAGATCATCCTCTGAGATTTTGATTCCGTATAACGTACATTTAGTCAAGTGCCCTAACCTCAGTGGAGAGCTTGCTAATTTTCACACACAATGACACCCATGTAAACACCACACAGGTAATTACTAAGAACACAGCACCCCCAGAAAGTTCCCTGTTGCAATTTCAGGGTAGGGTGATGAGCTGCCATAATTTGCCCAAGACATGGGACTTTCAGTATGAAAACTGAAGATGTCCTGAGCAAATCAGGACAAGTTAGTGCTATACTCAAAGCGCTCCAAAAGTACCCACTATTCTGGTTTCTATCTGGCGGTAATGTTAAGAGTTGCCCAGATAACTCTAATGTGCAGCCATGGCTGACTGCATGTCTTGCGAAAACATTGCTGGAGCTGGGGCTGGACTCTAATTCACTGGGTCAAGGATTAAGCCCCAGAATGGGCATTTCTAGCAAGCTGCCCTGGGGCCACGGCACTGCTACTCCAAACCCTTGTTTGAGCATGTGATCCACCTCTGGCCAATGACAAGTGAGGAGAAGCCTGCAAGGCACTTCTGAGGCCCATTCCTTTTAAGTCTATTAAAAGGCTGTCTCCATTTCTAAAAATTTACGTTTTCTAAATATTGGCCAGTGCTCAAGATCATGAAAGACTGAGGAGCAAATCAGAGACTTCAAGGCACAGAACGAAATGTAGGGTGTCAGCAGGGCAGTGGAGCTCAGCAACCACAGAGCTGAGGAAGCTGTCACACGGGGCAAGGAAGACTCAGGTGTGGAGACCTGGACCAGCAAGGAAGACTTTGGCAGTCGCTTGCTGTGTGACCTCTCTGAACCGTTTCTCCTGTAAAGTCAGAATCATAGTATTACCTCCTATATACAGTTGAAGTGAGGAATTATGCATAATAGCAGATAAATTCTACTCCTAGCATGGAGTCTGGTAGGAAATTCAAGAAATGGTAGTGGCTGTTATACAGATGGGAGGATGACGACTCAATTAGAGAGTAATGGGGCTTACAGAGGTAGCTTTAAACTTGACAATGAAGTGTTCCAGACAGCCTAGCATTTACAATGATACATACACCACACATCAGGTAGCTCCTCTAGCTGTAAAGACATCAGCTCAACATCTTTATCTCCAATGACCAATATACAACATTCTGATTGATTTAAAGAATTTTATTATTCTCTCCAGTAGGATGTTAAAAAGTCTTTAAAACCTTAATTCTTCAAAATAGACACAGGCTTTTCCAACAGTCTTCAGGTTACTTAGAGAGTAAGGGATGTATTCAATCAGAACTGTTATGATTTATTTCTCAGGAAAAAGCGTCTTTCTTCCAATCTTGTATTCCATTCCAACTCCAAAACAGAAAATCCCCTAAAAAAGAGAAAAGCTTGTTATAATCAATGCTTCCTTCAGTCGGGAAGTCCTACTTGGGAGCATCTAGTTAAGACTTTAGGAACTAAAGTAGATAAAAACAAGTGCCAGACCAAGAGATAAACCTCCTGTCTCTTCTGAAACTCACTAGTCTACTGTACTGGTTAAGGACCAGCTATTGGAAACATCCTTAATTGTGGGATCCTAGAAGCTGTCTAGTAATAGGTAACTGTGACCTATTTGCTATCTGCAAATCACAGCAGCACATTCCTTGATTACTTAAGGAGCTGGCAGGCCTGGGGATGCCTAGGCAGCTGTGGACCTGATTACGTAACTAACTCCATGGTGGTCTTGGGATAACTGATAGCATCAAATACTTTGCTGATGCTAATGTCTCTTGACATATGATCAAAGTTCCTTTCTCTGTTCCTTGTAAAACTTTGTTCCACATTCCAATCCCACCCTCCAGACTATTCCTCATTCCATTGTCATATGATCACCTTTTACTAGCCTGTCTGCTTTCAACAGCACATGAATTTCTGCTCAAGTAGCAGAGTCTTGCCTTGCAAACCTATTCCACAATTGTTGTCTCTCTCTGAGGCAACCAAGTTCCTGTCACAAGATTTAATGAATTTAAAGTCTTTAAGGATTCAGGCTTATGAAAGCAACTGTTTACATTTGAGTGGCAAAAAGTAACATTTCACATTTAAAGCAATAAGTGGTCATTTATATTAATTCCAGTTCTTATACATGTTTGTATTTACATGCTAAATATGTAATTTAGCACAACTTACAGAAGTGCTGCACAGTCCAGCGTAAGGCAGGCACACAACTTGATTCAAATCACATGTCTAGTTTAATTTTTCACTTAAGATGATTTATCTGCTGGAAATATTCCAGTGATGTAAGCAGACATGGAGGTCTGCAGAGGATACTGCAAATAGGTATTTCCTATTTACCTTGCAAGACAGAATCAACCATCTTCCTTTCCCTCTCTTCCTTATACGACCCAATAGAACTAATAGGCCAATAGTGCTGAAGATTTACTTCTCCCCTCCTGGCTTTACACCCAACTTTGTAACTGGGTTCCCAAGAGTCTTCTCTCAATACTAACCCACTAGGTACATCTAATAATTAATTACCAGTTTACCAGAGGACTGACATGTGGAAAACCACTCATAGAAACCTCACCTGTAGAGGACAGACTGTACACCAAAGCTGCCATCAATCCACTTCCATAGGGCTCCTGACCTGTAGGAACTGAACACATGAAACCAGTATTAAACAACCTGGGTACTGTTGGGCAGGTATTCAACCTCAACTAGAACAGGCACAGGTGAAGTAGGGGCCAATGCATCAGACAAAACTGGCTAGTAATTTAGTTAGAATCAACAGGGTCGATCTGATGGGGAAAAAAGTTAGGTCATCAGCTGCACTGGCCAAATCACAGGAAGAACACAAAGGGGTGAATAGAGAAAAGTAGTTACTAATGCCTCCATTTTCCAGATCCTTTATATTTAGCCCCATGGGCACACTTCTGACAGGCAGACATCACTTACCAATCCTTTCCCACATCTGGATTCATCCTGATCCATTCTCAGGCTGTCTTCTGCCAAAAGTCAACCTAGATGAAAATAGTGAATAAACATGAGCTCTTACCAGCTAGATGCCCTAGAGAGTGGGGGGTAGAGGGGCAACTAAAGCTGGCATATCAGACAGAAACTGGCTTAGAAATTACATCAACAGGGTCGATCTGTCGGGGAAAAAAGTTTAGTCATCACACATGCCAGCAGGAAGCTTCTGGCTTCTACAGAAAAAGCCCTGAACCAAAATTAGATTTGGTGGCTTTGCTTCTGTGCTGAGACTGCAGTGTTTTGGCCAAATAATTAAGATAATGAACATTCCTCCCCTAAGAAATTGGCCCCTTGGGTCTCATCCCTGGACTCAAATTTTGAACATCCAAAAACATCCCTTGAAGGATCCTTAAAAATTTTTAAAAAAATTTAACACCTACTCATTTTAAATTGATTTCCTCGTTGGGAAACGTTCTCTTAAGCCTATTTCTTCACCAGGCAGTTTTAAAAGCCTATTTTTGAAAAGTATGGCCAAAATAGAGCATGCAGCACGTGTATTGAGACTACCCTGTACCTGAGACACACTATATAATAATTTGCTTGAGTCCTACCCTAGCACACCAAGTGTCCTCAAAGCACGTGCTCCCCACTACAGGCCAAGGGACAAATGCTTACCTTAGGGCTCATGAGACGGAGGACCGTAGATGTCTACACCGGGTTCCTTCGGAGGCCCACGTGCAACCTCCTCTTCCAACGCCCATGCTGTACCCCCTCACCGCGGCAACCTGCGGACCAACAGAGAAGGGCCATCAACCGCCATCTTCCCGCAGTCGGAAAAGAATATGGCCGGGCTTTCTGCGGCCGGTGGATCAGAACTAACTGGCAAATGTTCAAAGACATCACCATTGTCGATCTGATGGGGAAAAAAGTGCAGTCATCATTCACACCAGCCAAGGCCCCTCAGGTTGGCACACAGGAGCTTGTTTCCCCAGCTCGCCCCCAAGGCCAAAGGGCCTATTAAAGGGTCAGAGCAAGGGATGTCAAGGCAGGGGGATGGCACGGAAAACGAGCAGTTATTCCGAATGGGTAACAGAGGGTTGGGGGAGATCTCCACTCACCATACCCCGGTTTCTCGAGCGGGCCGACACCGGGGAGGGCCCCATGGCAGGAAGCACAGACAAAGCTCAGCCAGCGCCGCAGACGCGAAAGAGCGAGAAGACACCCGGGCCTCCCTTATATAACAGGGAAGGCTCTCGCGCCTGCGCACTGAGCCTCAGGCCTGTCCCGGTCGCGCCCGCGCCGCCCGAGGCCCTCTGGGAAATGTAGTCTCCGAGCCGCCCGGCCCGAGGCGCGCTAATGGTCTAGTGAGGCCTCGGCTAACTCCGCCCCTTCCCCCTGACCCGCGGGGCTCGTCGGCTTTGCTATCATGTCGCGCTTCACACGCGCTGAGCCACCCCCTATGTCCCCCTACCTGCGGGACGGGCTGAGGCCCGCGACGGCCTGGGGTACAGTTGACCCGCTCCCCTCAGTCCCTTCCCCTCAGCGGCGCCCGCCTGAAGCCGCCGGCCCGGGCGCTGGAGGGAGCTGAAGTGACCCCGCGTCGGCCGCCGGGGCCAGGGGCTCGGACCCCAAGCCCGCAGCCCAGCCCCCCTCGGCCCCCCTCCTCCCCCCTCTTCCTCTCCTCCTCCCCTCGCCTTCCCCGGCTGCCCGGCCCTTCGCCCCGCCCAGTGTCTGCGGGAAAAGGAAACCGAAAGTGCGCGGCTCCGGGCGGGGCCGACGACCTCCCGGGCCACAGCCTGGCGCCGCGGCCGCGGGAGAGGACGCGCCGAGCCCGGTGAGTCACCTGCGCCCCGGGCTGCGGCCCGCGCCTGCCCCTGCTTGCCGCTGCCCCTGCCCGCCTCTCCTCAGCGCCCCCGTCACCTCGGCGCCCCCAGCCCCTCAGCGCCCCCCATCGTCGCCTCACCGTCCCCGGAGCGCCGGTCACCCTCCTAGGCGTCCCCGGCGCCTCCGTCACCCTCCTCGGCGCCCCCCAGAGTCCCCCTCATTCTTCTCGGCGCCCCCGGAGTCCTACCACCTCCCTTGGCCCCCCTGGAGTCCCCATCACCCTCCTCCGCGCCCGTCGCCAGAGCCCCGACATTCCCGTCACCCCCTCAGCGCCCCCCGGAATCCCCCCATCACCCTCCTCAGTGCCCCCATCACCCGTTCCTGCACCCTGTCACTTCTTCTGCGCTCCTATCATCCATCTTGGAGGCCCTGTCCCCTCTCAGTGTCCCCGTTACCCCCCTCAGCACCCTCGTCACCTCCATGCCCACGCTGCCCCACCCTGGCACCTCCTTTACCCCGTCAGCAGCTCTGCCGCCCACCTCAGCACCCCGAAACTCCCTCAGCACCTGTCCTACCAGCTCAACACCCCACACCTCTGACATTCTCAAAGCCCCCAAAACCTCTGTCCTACCCCAGAGTCCCCCATCACCACCTCTGCATCCAGCGTCATGGTCACTGCCCCCCACCCCATCTCTGTCTTCACCTTTTGCCACGGCCACCCCCTTCATCTACCTTTGTCCTCCCCTCCCGTCACCTCACTTAACCCCTCCTTGACAGAGAGCTCTTCCCTGCCTGGTCGCCGGCTCCTCCAGCGCTTCCGTTAAGGTCCCCCCAGATAAGTTCAGCCGCACCCTCTTCTTAGACCCCTTATCTCTTTAGCTCTCCCTTATCGCCCCAACCATTCTGCACTTAAGCCTTGCAGGGACATTTTCCTCCTGCCGTCTGGAAGCTCTGGCCCTCCCTTCCACCCATAATATTTACATCAGGGTTCCTCGGTCTGCCCAACCCTTTCTTATACCCTCTTAGGGCCCTGGAGACTTTCCCCTGAAATCCAGCTCAGACCTCTCCCCTCACCCCCATTCAGCCCACCCTGATTACTACCATTCTCATCTAATTTGCCCCCCCATGCTAGTCTGACCGGCATTAGTTTTCTTCTTCCTGCCCTTTAGGCCTTGATTGCCAAAGAAATCCACTTAGTCTGCTTTGTTTATGTTCCTAGTTCTCTCTACTCCTCATTTTCCTTGCCTTTTCTATTTTCTTCCCTTTCTTTTACCCTCCAAAATTTCTGAGTTTCTATTTTACTATTTTTCAACAAGAGGAAGGAATCTCCCCCCCCCGAATTTATTTTTAATTTAAAAAAACCTCTAAATAATGAATCTGCACCATGAGAGTGAGTTGATAAAATGAGGGAAGCTGTTGACCGAAAATACCAGCCGGAAGGAACTCCTTTTTTTTTTTTTTTTTTTTTTTTGATGAGGATAAAAGCTACTCCTATAATGGCAAATCTAGTCATAGTTTCCAACTATGAATATTTTAAAACTCCCAAGAGGGACAGTCTCAAAAATCCCTTTGCTGAAGACTGGTCCCCCACCCTTTCCCCTAGCCCACTTGATAAGAGTTATTTGCCTTGAGAAGTTCTTAAAGGGGCTTTCTCTTCCTCTCAAAGGGCCACTGTTGAAAATCATCAAGTAGAAGAAAGAGGAAAGAAAAGAACTGCCGATTTCTAGCTAGTCCTGAGGAAACAATATTCTGTAGATGCTAAACCTGCTGGTTACTGAACCATGTAATTTCTTTCTCTTGATTTAGTAGAGGGAAGGACTTAATCAGTTTGGCCGTGTTCCAAAGAGTAGGAGAAGGGATGACTACTCACTAATTATTTACCAGCTATAGAGTACTCTAAGCTATGGAGTACTGTATAATGTAAATGCCAGGTGGGGTGGTTAATACATGATTTTGGGATTAACAAAAATGAACTTTCTGTACTGGCAACAATATTTGTTTGCTTTATAGGAAAGGAAAACGAAACCTAGCAACTGTTTAACTGACTCAAGACATAAGCCAAACAATAATTCAAATGGGAATTGATGACACTCCCGCTACCCCCAGAAAGTGCAAGGATAAAGGGAAGGAGGACTTTGATCCCTTGAAATCACCTGAATTATGAATATAATGTTTTATATTGTAATTGGACATTCACAAAGTTGGACATTTGTGACAACAGTTAAAATCTGCATTTTGACTTATAACAACCATTAAGCTATAGAGGCAGAAGGATCAGCTTGATGCCATTTGGAGTTGTTTTTTTTTTTTTTTCTAGATGCTTTATTTCAAGGGCATTGATAACTCTCAAATTGTGCAAATTTCCAGATAACTGAAATAACATAAACGTGGAGGAATTCAAGTGACTCCAACATGGAGGACAGAAGGCCTTGTCCAGAAGTCAGGCCTAGAAATCCCCACACCAACCACAGAGGTAAGTGTAGCTTTCTGTGGCATAGATGACTCTGAAAAGCAGCCCTCCCCTTTCGCCTTACAGAGCTGGAGAATGGGTGTAGTTCACTTTGGGAAAGCCAGAGATGAGTGTCAGAAATGGAAATAACTCTCTGGCTAAAGCAGCACTTGTAATGGAGTCATAAGGCAAGCCAAAAGTATATTTTTTAATTTTCTAGTAGCATTGTTCAAACAGAGAAGAAAGAGAATGGGTAAAATCTATTAATTAATAAAGTTTAATAATTTAATGCTTGGCTTATGAAAGCTAATATATCCAAATATTTTATTATAAAAATTAAATATATTTTATCATATTGCTTTAATCATTTTAACATTTTTATTTCCCTCTGTGTACTTAAATATTATTTAAAGATGTTATCAATATTTTAGTGAGATATTTTATCTTTTTTTGATGTTAAGTCTTCAAAATTCATGTATTAATTTACGCATCTTAACTCAGACTAGTCACATTTAAGATGCTTAATAGCCACACATGTTGAGTGGCCGTGTATTGGATAGTGTGTTTATCTAAAGTCCTAGTCACCAAAGCAAAGTTAGTTCTAAAAGCATCACTCTATTGCAGTGATGGTTCTGTTTGCCCAGAACTTTCTATTAAAGATTTATTTATTTATGCATACAAGAACTGGGGTACAGGCCAGAGGTGCGGGGGTAGGGGTGAGAGGATTTACCAGAGACAGAGTGGGGAGCAGAACAGGGGCATCTACTGAAATACATTGCTGAGGGGAGCAGTGGGCAAGTCAGGAGAGGTCTACTGCGCCATGTGGGTAGCTCCCTGGCCAGCCGGGGATATAACTTGTGCTGCAAAGGCTTCAGATCGCTTCATAGTGCTGTGCTTAATTAACCCTCCCTTGCGCTACCAGGGAGGCCCCTGCTCAGAACTTTCTGAAACAAAACAACCAAATGAATTATTTCTTTTCCCTAAGTTTACAACATGTCATCCAAGTTTTATCTGTGAAACAAATGAGAAAACTACAGAATTTTATTTTATGAGCTGTGTGAATGCTGAAAGAAAACAGTAAAATTGTCCATTTTTCTGAAATATTAAGTCTAGCACTTAACCACCAAGAACTGAAAGACCAGTAACCCACTAGCCAGTGTATTCTAATCAGATCAAAATTTTAAAAGTAGACTTATGATATCTTGGGAGTTTGACAGTAATTGTAAACATTTAGAGTTTAACATACAGTATTTACGTTTATCAAATATTCCCTTATGTTTTCACATTAAAGTTTTCTCTAGTGCAAAACAAGTAGAAATGTACATTTGTGAATTTCATTACCTGAAATGGTCTGATAATCTTATATTTGTGCATTTAAAATTTTTATAAATTTTCATCATCAAATCACGGTCATTTATGAAATATATGACAGGTTAAGGAAGATAAGTTCAGCTTCAGCCACAGGATGACATTAGTTCTTTTATCTGTGCTGGATGTGTCTTCTCCCTCCTCTAACACCATCTTTTGTTCGAGTTAATAATTGCTAAGTACTATGTGGATGAACTTAGGCTGCAAAAAGGGGGAATACTGAGTTTCGTTTTTCAGTTTCATAACCTATTAATTAGCTCAAAAGATCTTGGCGTAAAGAAAGCCCTGGCTTTCCCATTGCTCTCTGAATTGCATTTGCTGATGCCAGCAGAGCAAAATTCAAGAAGATAAAGCCCTTTATGGCTTTATCTCATTTGGTGCCTTTGTTATCTATGACACAGTTGTTTAGCAGCAGTGCTGGTAATAATTAACATTTACTGAAAGTTTTATGTGTTGGGTGCTATACTAAACAGCACATAAATATTTGATTTTTACAACAATCCAGTTATTGAGGCTTAGAGAAAATTATACAATTTGGCCAAGGTAACACAGTGAGGAAGTGCCCAAGCCATTGTTTAAA